AAGTTTTCTATGTAGGTTCATTTTTGAATTACCAAAATCTTAGGTAGAAGACATAAGATATAGAAATATTCAGTAAATATTAATATGGATGAGAAGCTCAAAATTGTAAAAGGTACATACAGTGTCAAACTCAATCTAGTGTGTGTGTTTTTTTCTTAATTTATTGTTATACATTAAAAATAATTTACGTAAAAAGGTCATATAACTAAAAAATAATCATAAAGGGGATCTTAAATACAGAGTATTAAAAATTTTTATTTTCTCTAAAAAATGATACAACATGAATCACACCCATCTTATTATATGATTATCTATAACAGTTTAAAAAGTTAAGTAATATTAAATAAATTGAAAATTATGAATTATAAAAAGAACTAATTGTATTGTATACTTTACCTTGTATGTGATAATCAACTTTTTCAAATAATTTAACCTTTTTTGGAATTTTTGTAAACACTCAAAATTTCTTTTTGAACTAATCTTATTACATGATATATATATTACTATATGAATATTAATAAATCATGATTTTTTGTGATCCAAAAACTTGTACATCAAATAATATCAATTGCTTTGAAGATTTATATGGTATGACATATATCATATAGTACAAACAAACAAGAAACATGTTCACCAGTTCCTTATTAGACTGGACAAACTGTGTAATAGTTGAATTGTTCATACTTTATAAGAATGATCGCATAATCTAATGAAATAAAAGTTTTATTTGCAAATTTTTTTCAGAATAAACTATACATATTTTACAATAGTGTGCTCATACTATATGATCTAGTTATAAAAATTTAAAATTAATATTTTCATTTGATACCCACTCTTATGTTTTGGGAGATAGTTTATTGTTGGTTTTTAAAAAGTAGGTTACATAGTATCCATTGTGTGGAAGAGAATAATAATTTCCTTGTGATCTTGGCAAAACACTTAGGAGGAAAGGGTGGTCATGAGAGAGGGCACCTTATGGATCTTTGAGAAGTGTGTGAAGAAATTCCCATAATTATTTATGAATTCTATATTTAGTTCCTTAAGGTTTTATTAAAAGGCATGATTGAGTCTAGCCGAGGAAGCTAGGAAGGCATCTTTGTTGTATAGGAATGAAAGGGAGGGAGTGTGGACAAAATTAATTATACCAACTAATTTTGACTTTGAATTTTTATAATAAAGTCTACATAGATAATAATATACAACAACAAAACCAAGATCAAGATTTTATCCCACTATGTTAGGTCATCTACATGAATCCTTTTTCTCCATTGTGTCCTATGAAAAGTCAAATTCTCATTTAAATCTAAAAGAGAAAGATCATTTTTAATGTTAAAAGTCAAAGGACCGAGCCCTAGGTAACTTAGTTTGTATGGCATTAGAGTGAGAAAGTAGAGTGAGAAAGTCTCAGAATTCTGAAGGCATTTTTCAAAATTTTCCTTTTTACGGCCATTGGCGGGTTTCTCGTCAAAGCTGGCGGATCTTACTCTGGCCATCTCTGGTGATCGGAATGCTCCTCCGTGGACTTGATTATCGTCGACGATGACGGTCAAAGCTTTAGTTGGTATGTCATCTGGAATAGTGATCCGAGAGACGGATCTCCATAAGTTGCCAGTTTTTACTCCTGTTAAAGGAAAAGGCAAACAAATTATGGTAGAGGAGGCGGCACAATCTCCATTTTTTTGATTGGGTTCTTCATCACCCAGATTGGAATTATTTGTGAACAGATTTGCAAATCCAAAATCTATCTCAATGAATGAAGCTGATAAATCTGATTTAGTTCAAGGATGCATTTCAGGTGTTTGTGAAAAACTTGTAGATGATGGGAGTAATTTGAATAATACTGCTGTAGACAAATCCTATTTCTTGGCTTTAGAACAAGAAAATTTTAATCCATGGAAAAAAAGGCCTTATATCAAAGTTAAACTCCATGTGAACAGTCATTTCCTAATAGATGATGGTTCAACAATTAAGCCTTACAAACCAAATGTGAGAGCAATTTCTGAAAAACTTCAATTATCCTTAGTTGTCAAGGTGTTTGGGAGACGCTTACCAATTCAGTTGGTAGCATCTAAACTGAGTCATCAATGGACAAAATTTGGTAAGTTCCACTTAACCAGTCTGGGATCGGACTGGGTATTACGCTCATTTTTCTCAAAAGATGCAATGGAAAATATCCTTTCAGGAGGACCTTGGTTTGTCAATGGCCACTTAATTGGGTTAGACAAATGGAATTCTGATTTTAATCCCAATTCTCTTAAGGGGCTAACTTCTCCTATATGGATTAGAATGCCTAATCTACCACGGTTTTGCTGGGATGAAATTAATGTCTCCATGATTTCCTCTTCAATCGGAGAACCTTTTTAATAGATGGAGATATGTTTCAATGGGGAAGACGTGAATTTGCAAGGATTTGTGTCCGAATTCAGCTTGATTAAAAGCATCCTACTGGAGTTTGGGTGGAAGGAGTTAATGGAAATTTTTTTCAGCGAGTGGAGTATGAAAAAATTTCAGTATTCTGCCAAAGTTGTGGTCACATTGGCCACTTAAAGGATTCATGTAATGCTTCTATGAAGATTTCTAAACCGGTTGAGTATCCCATCCAAACGAAGTGTAATGACTCTGCTTTGATTAAACAATCTAGTATTGATTCAGAAGACAAAATGTGGCATTTGGTTAACTACAGGAGATTCAAGAAAAAAAAAGTGATAAATCAGAAAAGGATGTTCGTTCCCAAGTCTGGTGTTCAATCCATTGCTGATAAGGAGAATGTGGCAAACTCTATTTTGAATAGAAATAAAAGTCCTTCAAAAAATCTAACCAGTGAGAAGTTTATGGGTTGTAAAAATGTGGACAAGAAGATAGGTGAGAATCCAAAAGAAATTGAAATGAATGACAATTCTTTTGGAATTCGTTATGCTGGAGAGAATGCAGTGGATTCTATTGACTTGAATGGTTCCAGTTATCAAGCCAGAGAAATGTTAGAAGTAAGAGAGCCATTGGGGAATACTGATGAAGATTCTATTTAGTTAATTCAAATACATTCAGGTAATAAGTTTGAAATTCTTAACTCAATATGTGAAGATCCTTCAAAAATGGATGCTCAGGAAAATTCAAGGATTGAGGTTGTTGAAGAAGGTGAAATAGTGGAATGTTTGAAAAAAAGTTAGACTGATTCCAAGGTTGAAGCAGCGCCAGATTTTTTAATGACAAATAGTGGCAGCATTAAAGTGAATGTTTCTGATCTCAATCATGGGAAGATTTTTGTCCAGAAATTTAAATTATCCAAAGAACTAAGATCTCTTGGTCCTTTAAATGCAACTTCAAGATTAGAGAAGAATAATTCAAATAAAAGAAAGGGAGGAGGCTCTTCCCCATTCTTACCAAAATGAGTTCCATTAGCTTTTGGAATTGTAGGGGGGGGGGGGGGGGGGGCAAAATAAGAAGGAAGCCACCCTATATTTGAAGGAATACATCAAAGATTGGGACGTATTTTTTGTGGGTATCATTGAAACTAAAATTTCTTCTATTTCCAATGAAGAATTTGAAACAATTTTTGGAGACAAATGGGATTTTTTTCTGGAGCCATCTAGAGGTAATTTAGGTGGTATTTTACTTATTTGGAAAATTGATGTTGTTGCTTTTTCTTTGATCAAAGCTTCATAGCAGTGTGTCTTGGGGACACCGAAGATTCCAAATAAAGGAAATTGGTTAATAGCTACAATTTATGGTAGCAGGGAGATGCAGGGAAGAAGAGAATTATGGGAATTTCTGGATTGAAATTTAAATCAAGACAGTTCTACCCTTGTTGGTGGTGACTTTAATTGCATTCTCTCTCAAGATGATAAAAAAGGAGGAAAAAATTTTCTTTTAAAACGGGTCCTTTGGAAATGAAGGCTTGTATGATTAGAAATGAGCTTCATGATGTGAATTATATTGGCTCTAGATTTACTTGGTGTAATAACAGGAGTGCAAGGATCTTGGAAAGACTTGATAGGTGTTTGCTCAACTCAATTGCATTGGACCGAATCAATCAACCATTTGTGAGACACTTGAGTAGGATAGCATCAGATCATTGTCCTATTATTTTTAAAATGTTTGATTAGGTTATTAAGAAAACCAAAATATAATGGTTTGAATATGTTTGGTTAACCTACTCAGCAGCTACTTCAATTGTTAAATTCTCTTGGGCAAAACTGGTGAAGGGAAATGATATGGAGGTTCTGAACAAAAAATTCTCTAGAGTTCTCAAAGCATTGTTCTTTTGGAGCAAGGCAAAACACCAAAGATTAGAAGATTTGAAATATGTTTTAAAGGCTAAAATTGATGAAATTCAATTAGAAGAAGACCGAGACCTGCAGTTTTCTGATGATATGAATCGGTTACTAAGAGCCAAAATCAATGAGTTCAACATTACACTTGCACGTTTAAATACTTGGTGGAGACAAAGAGCTAAAGAAAAATGGATGAAAGATGGAGATTCAAATTTTAAATTTTCCCATGCTTTTGCTAGTGGGAGAAGGAGTAATAATCATGTTAAACAGTTAAAAAATTTTGAAGGAGAGCTGAATGAAGATCCAGAAAACATTAAGAGCTATTTCTTTGACTTTTTCCGCAAAAAATGGGATCAGAGATATTGTCGTCTGGACAATTGGCCACAAAATTTGAATTTTCATAACCAAGAAAGCTGCAGTTTTCTGGAGTCTGCTTTATCTTTTGCTGAAATTGAGAAGGTTATTCAAGATCTTGGTAACAACATTGCTCCCGGATTGGATGGAATCACCTATTCCTTTCTTAAAGCTTAATGGAGTATCATTGGAAAGGATGTTTAGAGAGCTGTTCTTTTATCCTTTAATTCGGATTCTATGTCTCCAAAGTGGAAAGAAACAATGGTGGTGCTTATCCCCAAAGTAAGAAATCCTTTATATCCCTCTAATTTTAGATCGATAAGCCTTTGTATGTCTATTTATAAAATTGTAGCAAAAGTGTTATTAAATAGAATGATGAAGGTGATTCACAACCTTATTTCGGAGGAACAAGTTGCTTTTATCAATGGTAGGTCTTTATCTGATCATGTTCTCATTGCTCAAGAACTAAAAGAGGGTTAATGTCAATCAAATTAGATACGGAGCAAGCTTATGACAGCATGGCATGGAAAACTCTAAAACAAGTTTTGAACTATTTTGGTTTTCCAATAGGCTACTCTAATCTAATTATGGAATGTATCACTGATCCTATTTTCATTGTTCATGTTAATGGAGTTTGTTTGGAAGGAATTAAAGGGAAAAGTGACTTTCGACAAGGGTGTCCGTTATCACCCTATTTATTTATTCTTTGTTCTCAGCTACTTACCAATGCTTTCTCATATGAAGGAAAACGTTTGGGTTTTAAAATTACTCCTATGGCTCCTAGGATTTCTCATCTACTATTTGCGGATGACACTTTGATGTTCTCTTTGGCCAAGAGGGAGAATGTGTTGAATATCAAGAAAATTACTTTTGATTATTGTTATTGGACAAGTCAAAAGGTAAACTTCTCTAAATCTGCTGTTATTTTCAGCAACAATATAGAGAGAAGGAGGAAGAGGGAATTATCTATTATTTTGGGAATTAAAGAGGTCAAGGAGATCAATGACTTGGGCATTAATATGACGTTAAGAAGACATATAAATGCTGATTTTTCTATCATACTGGAAAAAGCTGCAGCAAAGTTGGATATTTGGGGAAACAAATTCATCTCTATGCCAGGAAGAGTGATTCTTATAAAAATAGTGGTTCAAGCTCTTCATGTCTTCTATTCTTCTTTGTCCATGATCCCATTGAGTATTTTGAAGAAATTGGACAGATTAAGCAGAGACTTTCTATGGAGTAAAAAAAATGGAAGTAATGGTATTCATTATATATCCTGGAAGGTTGTTTGTAGGCCGGAAAACCAAGGAGGCCTGGGGATCATAGCAGCTACAAACTCAATTGAACCTCTCAGAGCAAAGCATCCTGGAATTTTTTGAAGAACCTGAATTTCTTATTGAACAAATCCTTATCTATTAAGTATGGAAGAAAAATCTGGGATGTGGAAAGAAGACCAAATTCTTCTTCTACTTCGAGACTAATTCTTAGTGGAGCTAAAATGCTGAGACACATTGTGAAATGGAATATTAAAGATGGATCTTCCATTAACATCATGAAAGATAATTGGATTATGGATAGAAACTTGGAGAAGTGGCCAACATTCATTGCAATTGGAGATGATAGCTTGCCTAATCTTTCTGAATTTATTTCAGATGGAGAGCGGAATTCTAAAATTAAAATGTTTCTTTGGAGAGGAGATAGTAATGGTGATCTGCAATATTAAAATTGATGTCAAAAGAGATGAAGACGAGTTGGAACTACTTAAAAACTTCTCTGGGAAGACTATTTCTGTTATGGCTAGAGAAGGGAGATCAACTATGGAAGAGGAAAACCTGTCTTTTATTCAGCATTGGAGGGACATTAAAAAACTGAAACTCAATCCAAGAATTGCATTGTTTTGGTGGAGAATGTTGAAAGATGCTATTCCTTCTTGTGATGTTTTAATGCCCAGAAGATTATTGAACAATAATCTTTGTCCTAGAGGCTGCGGTATCAAAGAAGATGGTAAACATGTGGCGGCGAGGTGTTTGAAATTAATTCAAATTATCCAATTGGGAAATAAATGGGGATTCTCTGTACCGGTCTTCAATTGTCTTCAAGAATGCCTCCTTATCTTTAATAAGACTATGAAGAATAATTGTTTTATTGCTCAAATTTATTGTGCTTTGGTTTTCAACTCTTGGAAGAGTAGGAACAAACTTATACATTAAGGAAGTGAAATGGGATCTGAATTTATTTTATCAAATGCCATTAGTAATGCAACCTTTTCATCTAATAATCCAGACTCGGACCACTGGGGTGCTAACCAGCTTCTTAAGCTGAACTCTTCTCTTTGGCATCCCCCTCCACCCGGTTGGATTAAGGTGAATATTGATGCCTCTCTTCTTCCTTCAAACAAAGCAGGGATAGGAGGTATATTCAGAGATAACAAAGGAAGGATGATTTATCCTTTGGATTCTCGGTGGTTCATTGGGACATTGGTTTTCTTGAACTTTTGGCCTTCCGTTCGTTGAGAAGTGTTATGAAAGAAGGGATGATGTATGCTAGAGGTATTATTATTGAGAGTGATAGTTCTAATGTCATTAACTATCTCCAAAAAATCATTTGCTAATAAAGGATTGGATCGGTCAACTCAGGAACATTTCGGCTTTCTTGAAAGATTTGAGGTAATTCTTTTTCAATCTTTTAGTAGAGATTGTAATAAGTTATCTCATTAGTGTGCTAACTTTGCTTTGATAAGGGACTTTTATTGGGATGTTCTAGAAGTTAATATGGTTCCTCCTTCTTTTTTTACATTGTTAAAGGAGGAAGGAGATAGGTATACTATCACTTAGGTTTTTTTGTACCTTTTTTTATTTTTATTAATACTATTGCATCTTCTCAAAAAAAAAAAAAAAAAAATTCTAACCAAGTCTTTTTAGTTCATCCTCTATCTTTCTTAACCAGGTCATTGGAAGGCTGCCGTTTTATGTGACCAAACCTTCTAAGGTGACTCTCTCTAATCTTATCTTCTATTAGAGCTACTCCAACCTTTTCATGTATATATCAACTCAAAATATATATATATTTAAGCTTGAATATCAATTTAATAAAATAAATATAATTAATTTTTATAATAAAACTAAGTATAAAAATATAATATTAATCTTCAAATATAGAATAATATCAACCTATCATTTAAAAGATGATATTAGTAATGTACAAAACTTTATTCTACTCTTAGAGATCTTCACTTGCTCTAACAAAATAAATTATGGTTATTTTTACTCGATTTTATGTCCCTTATAGAGGCATGCCTCTAAAGTTAAGTACATCACAAGACAAGCCTTGAGAAAAATAATGTTATAACTAAGCTTCTTTAAATTTTTTGCTATCTAAATATATGATATCGAGTTTACAGTTATCAATAAAGAAAGGTTCAAAGTATAAACACTTCTCTATAAGTCAAAAACAGAAAGGTAGATAGTATTTGAGATTACGTAAAATCCAAAAACACTCAAAAATATTATATAGTTTTGATTTACCAATTTACACCATGATTAAATTTGGACTTACATAGATTATTTATTTAACATTTTGGATAATCCTCCAGGAAGAAAGTATAAAACATTTATGTAAATATAGGCTTACGTCTACTTGGAGTGGACAACTAACTAAGCACTTTAGCAGCCATTTTTAAAACCATGCTTTTTAGGTCAAATGTGTTCAGGGTAAATTGCTATAATTTACATCATATTAAGTATTCATGTTCAAATTTTAATTAGGATATTAAACATGTTATCCACCTAAATAATGTATTTTAAATTGATTTTTACTTATATTATTAATTCTCTATGATACACTTAACTCTATCTACATTATACAACTTATATGATCTACCAGACTAAAGTTTTAGAAATATCTAGCAATATAAATACTTTAAACCCATAGATATTAGTAGACTCATACCCATTATTTAGGCCAACCGATGCTTGCCACTATATTGTGTGCTTGGCTAGTGTACATTGTAGAAAAATAAAATATGTGCATTTATGGATGTGTAGGTTAAGGAGTTCATACGTATAGTATAAATATACGACATTATTGTAAGAGCTTATAATATATATCCCTACAAAGGGAAGGACACAACCATAATAAAAGTATTGGAAAACAAATTCCCCTCCTAATACAATTGATCTAGTAACCCATCATTACAATCCATTGATGACTGAAGCATGGTATAAATAAATAAATAAATAAATAAATAAATATATATATATATATATATATAGTGACACTGTCTATATATATTTTATAACTTATATTTATACTTAATAACATAAATGTTGACTTATACTAGACTGTTGCTAATGTATGAAAGCTAAGTTAAGTACACTATAAGAAAATAAATGTCTAAAACTGTACAAATTTATATATAAATTGTTGGAAAAGTAAACAAATTTAGAAGAGGACACCCTCCAAGAAAGTCATCCAATAACACAAAAATAAAATAATAATAATCACTAGCTTAGCCTAGATTAGAGTCGATTATCCTAGCAAATAAAATTTAATATTGTGTGTTGAGCTTGTATGGCCTTGATATAACATAAGGGACTTTATATTTGAGTTATCTACATTTGAATTTATTTGTTTATTACAAGCTAAATTAGATTTAATTTTATCTTAAAATTGAGTTTTAATGTTTTAATATTTTATCAAAAAAAAAAAATATATAATGATTAAAGTTATTTAACATTAATAAAATCTTGATGATTAATAATTTAAGGTGAGCTTTAAAGTTTGGAATCATAAAATCCTAAGCCTCATATTTATAGTGCAATTTTTTCCCATTGAAGGGAAAACCATGTTTATTGTAATGAAATAAGCTAGCTTGTATTGATGGGAGGGATGTTAGACGAATTATTTGTGAGGATTCTAAATTTTTTCATCATCCTGCTGTGGGTACTTCGGGTGGGATTTATGCATATGAAAAAGGGAGGAAGTTTCCTTTAATGTTATTGAGAGTTCTTCTTAATGTATTTTTGGTTCTATTCAAATTCCTAAAATGGGTGTTTGGAATGTTTTTGCTATTTATGGTAATAAGCATTTGAATATTAGAAGAGGGTTATGGGATAGCATTGAGATACTTTCTTCCTCTAATATTCCTTCTTTTATGGGTGGGGATTATTTTTTTTTCTTTCTAAAGAGGATAAGAGAGGATGGAAACGATTCATTTTCTCTCAAGGTCCCCAGGAGATCAATTCTTTTATGGCTACTAATGTTTTTCATGATGTAGGTGTTACTGGACCAAGATTTTCTTGGTGTACTAATAAAGAAGGTACATTAAGAATCTGGGAAAGATTGGATAAATGTTTGCGCAACTCTAACACTATCCAATGATTTTGTTTGCTATGATTAGGGATCTTTCAAGAGTTGCTTTTGATCATAGCTCTCTTATTTTTAAGAGAAGTGACACCTCTCATCCTCAAAATAAGTTCATCTGATTTGAAGATATATGGATGTCTTATCCAGTAGCTTTGAATGTGGTTCTGAAATCATGAATGAAACTGGACTTTGGAGATGATGCTAAAGTACTCCAATGAAAATTGAAGAGATCATTGAAGACTTAGTTTTTTTGGAAAAAGAATAAGCTGAAGAACTTGAATGAGCTCAAGGAAGAGTTAAAAGTAAAATTTTCAATCTTCAGCTTAAAGAAAGTGAGTATTTTGATTTCTCTTCAGAAAAAATAAAATTGGATAGGTTGAATGTGAATGAACTGAATGAGGCTTTTAGCAAGTTGGCTACATGGTGGAATCAAAGAGCAAAGTTGAAGTGGATTAATTAAGGATACTCTAACTAAAAAAAAAAATTACAACTATGCTTCGGCTAAGAAGAATGGCAATTTGATTATATAAATAAAAAATGGCAAGAGGCATTTCATTGAAGATCAAAAAGTGATTGAGTCTATTTTTTATTATTTAAAAAAGAAATGGAAGAAAAAAAATTGTAATATGATGGATTAGAATTATGCTCATGCTAATAAAAAAATCAATAAATTGTAATAGGTTGGATTGGCCCGATGTCACTAAATGCTCATGCTCATGCTAATAAAAAAATCAACAAAGTTTACTCTTCCCAAAGTTCTTACCAAACAAATCCATGATTTTTTTGAACTAATTACACATTATGATATTCTTATCCTACTAGACAACCTACTTGAAATCAACTAATTTTACTGTATGACGAGATCAGTACAGAATGATTAATATAGGTGACTTTCAGTCATCCAAGGAATTATCTTGAATGAATAGAGGAAATTAAATAGATCGTATTAGACAATCTCTGCAATGTACTATATTATGAGTTTGAATTAATTGAAAAGTTCATTTGAATGACTATT